GTCTGTCTGTCTGCCTGCCTGCCTGCCTGCCTGCCTGCCTGCCTGTGTCTTAGATCTTAGACACTAGCTTGCATTTATTATGCAAAGTAGAAGCTGTTGATTTGCATCGGCTCATTCACAGCCTGGCAATTAAAGTTATTATACCACTAGTCATCTCATCATCTGGTTATCTGCAGTCTAAATGGTGGATCCAGCCTGCCTTCTCGCTTCCGAGATATCCATTTTGTCACTAAATATATCATGTCTGTCGTTCCTGTCGCGGTAGTCGTATCATGCTGTCTAGTGACCTCAGGGTCCTGACCTACCCCAGTCAGATATAGCTGAATGGTCGTCATTGAACGCGACTTATAACAGTGACCATCTCTCTCGTTCAACAAGCTTAAGGATACAATCGCCAGCTTTACAAATGGCTGGCCCTGATAACGAGGTCCTATAAACACACTTCCCCGAAGCACGCTGCCACCGGCTGATTGACTTCCCGAGTCCGAACTCTCTCACTCACACGATTGTGACATACCCCGTCGAAGTCACAGCCAAATGTCCGATACAACACGTAAATGGATTTTGGGTTCATCCATTGGCACTGTGCCACATCGTGGAGACATTCAACAGGACGTCAGTAGGAGAACGACCTCTTATGGGACTATATTAGCCGCTACACCCTTGCAAAAAGATAATCACAAAGAGATAAAATCACAAAAAGATAATCACTAGTCACAGGAAAGCGGCTGAAGATCACTAACGCAACTCACACTCGTGAAAAGAAAGGGAAGTGGCAACGCTTGGGTCCATCATCAAGCCCTTAGCAGTTGCCACTTGGTAATGGTCCTGGACGGAGAAAAACATCGTTGCTCTCATCTCATAAGTGCAGGTTGAGTGGTTGTTGCGAGGACACAGTCTCAGCAATGTTGGCAGTGATTGGCATGTGTGAAGGCCTGCTGTAGCTGTCCACCGACCCCGGCTCTCCTGCTCTTCTGGTGATTAGACTTGCTCCTGGTGATTAGACTTGCTCCTGGTGATTAGACTTGCTCCTGGTGATTAGACTTGCTCCTGGTGATTAGACTTGCTCCTGGTGATTAGACTTGCTCCTGGTGATTAGACTTGCTCCTGGTGATTAGACTTACTTGTGGATCCTCTCACGAAGACAATTTTTCCTTTTTTAGTTTTATCCCCAGTCATAAATCTTGACATGTTTGGCTTCAATTAGTTCCTCTAATTCCCTCACTACTCTAATCTACTGTTATCTCAATATTCCCCGGTCTGCCAGCCAAGCTCATCTCCTCTACTACCACTGAGATGTAGTGATGCTCACCCCTCCCCCCTCCCCCCTCCCCACATATAATTTGCTTAGCCACAAATTATATATGTTCCTTCACTTATATTTAGTCAAGTTCCTTGTCACTTACTGACATTTTCTTGCTAATAAGGCTATATAAAGCAACTCCGGCCGTCAATGTAATATTTTCTTATGATTTCTATGGCCTCTCTTTCAGTTCTTGCTTGACCCATTTTCTTCCTATTTTACTACTGCTAATTGGTTATCTGGCCTCCTGGGGGTTGTTTTAGACACAATGGGCTGTCGTGTGCAGACGACTAGTCACAATAACATGGCTGAACACATCATGACTAAACCTTACACCAGAAGATGGAGGAGAAGTGACGACGTTTCGCTCCGTCCAAGAGTAATGATCCAGGACTTCGTTTTCTATTGTGTAGTTTGGTTATGAATGCGTTATCATTTTCCGTCGTCCATTTATCACTTAGTGATGATGATATGTATCTTTTCTCAGCCTCTCTGACTGACCTGTTATATTATTTCTTAGACGAACATACTCCTAAGTTCTTCCTCTCGCTACAAGACTGTAAAGTACCCTCGTAGTCTCCTAAAATACCATTTTTTTATAGGTTAGTTTCCCCTTCCTTGCTTCTAGCTCTGCTTTGTTTACAATCAGACGAGCGAGTGTTGGGACCCCATAGTTGTGGGCTCCTGTTGGGACCCCATAGTTGTGGGCTCCTGTTGGGACCCATAGTTGTGGGCTCCTGTTGGGACCCATAGTTGTGGGCTCCTGTTGGGACCCATAGTTGTGGGCTCCTGTTGGGACCCCATAGTTGTGGGCTCCTGTTGGGACCCCATAGTTGTGGGCTCCTGTTGGGACCCCATAGTTGTGGGCTCCTGTTGGGACCCCATAGTTGTGGGCTCCTGTTGGGACCCCATAGTTGTGGGCTCCTGTTGGGACCCCATAGTTGTGGGCTCCTGTTGGGACCCCATAGTTGTGGGCTCCTGTTGGGACCCCATAGTTGTGGGCTCCTGTTGGGACCCCATAGTTGTGGGCTCCTGTTGGGACCCCATAGTTGTGGGCTCCTGTTGGGACCCCATAGTTGTGGGCTCTGTTGGGACCCCATAGTTGTGGGCTCCTGTTGGGACCCATAGTTGTGGGCTCCTGTTGGGACCCCATAGTTGTGGGCTCCTGTTGGGACCCCATAGTTGTGGGCTCCTGTTGGGACCCCATAGTTGTGGGCTCCTGTTGGGACCCATAGTTGTGGGCTCCTGTTGGGACCCCATAGTTGTGGGCTCCTGTTGGGACCCCATAGTTGTGGGCTCCTGTTGGGACCCCATAGTTGTGGGCTCCTGTTGGGACCCCATAGTTGTGGGCTCCTGTTGGGACCCATAGTTGTGGGCTCCTGTTGGGACCCCATAGTTGTGGGCTCCTGTTGGGACCCCATAGTTGTGGGCTCCTGTTGGGACCCCATAGTTGTGGGCTCCTGTTGGGACCCCATAGTTGTGGGCTCCTGTTGGGACCCCATAGTTGTGGGCTCCTGTTGGGACCCCATAGTTGTGGGCTCCTGTTGGGACCCATAGTTGTGGGCTCCTGTTGGGACCCCATAGTTGTGGGCTCCTGTTGGGACCCCATAGTTGTGGGCTCCTGTTGGGACCCCATAGTTGTGGGCTCCTGTTGGGACCCCATAGTTGTGGGCTCCTGTTGGGACCCCATAGTTGTGGGCTCCTGTTGGGACCCCATAGTTGTGTGTTGGCTCCTGTTGGGACCCCATAGTTGTGGGCTCCTGTTGGGACCCCATAGTTGTGGGCTCCTGTTGGGACCCATAGTTGTGGGCTCCTGTTGGGACCCCATAGTTGTGGGCTCCTGTTGGGACCCCATAGTTGTGGGCTCCTGTTGGGATCCCATAGTTGTGGGCTCATGTTGGGACCCCATAGTTGTGGGCTCCTGTTGGGATCCCATAGTTGTGGGCTCTGTTGGGATCCCATAGTTGTGGGCTCCTGTTGGGATCCCATAGTTGTGGGCTCCTGTTGGGATCCCATAGTTGTGGGCTCCTGTTGGGACCCATAGTTGTGGGCTCCTGTTGGGACCCCATAGTTGTGGGCTCCTGTTGGGACCCCATAGTTGTGGGCTCCTGTTGGGACCCCATAGTTGTGGGCTCCTGTTGGGACCCCATAGTTGTGGGCTCCTGTTGGGACCCCATAGTTGTGGGCTCCTGTTGGGATCCCATAGTTGTGGGCTCCTGTTGGGATCTTGTGCTCAGTGACCTCATTTTGGGGTCAAGTTCAGGTTAAGTAGTCGAGGTTTAGTTCATTTTCCTCGTGTCGTCAATCTTTTTCGTGTGTGTTGTGTGGTGTTCGGAAGTTCCTTTCCATAAGTCTCCCTCTTTCCCTCCCCCCATAACTGGGGGGGGGGGAGGGGGTTCTCAATTCCCACTTTGTTTACCTGTGATTGAGATCGCCTGAGAGACAGAGAGAGACAGAGAGAGAGAGAGAGAGAGAGAGAGAGAGAGAGAGAGAGAGAGAGAGAGAGAGAGAGAGAGAGAGAGAGAGAGAGAGAGAGAGAGAGAGAGAGAGAGAGAGAGAGAGAGAGAGAGAACTACGACCCGAGAGTCGTAGTCCACTCGTTGAGTATGAGTGCATGCATATATGAGAGTGTATGTGGATGCGTGTATGTGTATGCATGTGAGCGTGCGTGCGTGTACTCCACGCGTGGAGCCCGGAGGTGGAGGCTCAGGATGGAGATGATTCTGGCTATTCACAGCCTCCGGGAATCTTGCCAGGAATCTTGGCCTCCAGTTCCTTAACACTCCAACATTGTCCAACTTGTCAGAGTCGTAGGTGGAGGAGGAGCAGGAGTAGGACAAGGAGGAGGTAGAGAAACAGCAGCAGCAGGACGAGGGAACAGCAGCAGCAGGACGAGGGAACAGCAGCAGCAGCAGCAGGAGGAACAGGAGCAGCAGCAGGAGGAACAGGAGCAGCAGCAGGAGGAACAGGAGCAGCAGGAAGAGCAGCAGGAGGAACAGGAGCAGCAGAAAGAGCAACAGGAGCAGCAGGAAGAGCAGCAGGAGGAGGAACAGGAGCAGCAGGAAGAGCAACAGCAGTAGCAGGAGGAGGAACAGGAGCAGCAGGAAGAGCAACAGCAGCAGCAGGAAGAGCAACAGGAGCAGCAGGAAGAGCAACAGCAGTAGCAGCAGGAGGAACAGGAGCAGGAGGAACAGCAGCAGCAGGAAGAGGAACAGCAGCAGCAGCAGGAGGAACAGCAGTAGCAGGAGGAACAGCAGCAGCAAGAAGAGCAACAGCAGCAGCAGGAAGAGCAACAGGAGCAGCAGCAGGAGGAACAGGAGCAGCAGGAAGAGCAACAGCAGTAGCAGCAGGGAGAACAGCAGCAGCAGCAGGAAGAGGAACAACAGCAGCAGCAGGAGGAACAGCAGCAGCAGCAGGAGGAACAGCAGCAGCAGCAGGAGGAACAGCAGCAGCAGGAAGAGGAACAACAGCAGCAGCAGAAGGAACAGCAGCAGCAGGAAGAGGAACAGGAGCAGCAGCAGGAGGAACAGGAGCAGCAGGAGGAACAGCAGCAGCAGCAGGAGGAACAGCAGCAGCAGCAGGAGGAACAGCAGCAGGAGGAACAGCAGCAGCAGCAAGAGGAACAGGAGCAGCAGGAAGAGGAACAGCAGCAGGAGGAACAGCAGCAGCAGCAAGAGGAACAGGAGCAGCAGGAAGAGGAACAGCAGCAGCAGCAGGAGGAACAGGAGCAGCAGGAAGAGGAACAACAGCAGCAGCAGAAGGAACAGCAGCAGCAGGAAGAGGAACAGCAGCAGCAGCAGGAGGAACAGGAGCAGCAACAACAGCAGCAGCAGCAGGAGGGAAACCACCTCTCTCCACAGAGCCACAAAAATTAATATACATCAGCAAACAGACCAAAACATAATATATAAACGATATAAAAATAGTTTAACTACAACAAAACGAAAATAATATATAAGAAATCCTGAGTTGTATCATGTTTTTGTTTTTTTCTCAGCGTGGCAAAAAATGGGTAAATAGAACGTGCCTGGGAGATGCTGAGAGGTGCTGGGAGGTGCTGGGAGGTGCTGGGAGGTGCTGGAAGGTGCTGGGAGATGCTGGGAGGTGCTGGGAGGTGCTGGGAGGTGCTGGGAGATGCTGAGAGGTGCTGGGAGATGCTGAGAGGTGCTGGGAGATGCTGGGAGGTGCTGGGAGGTGCTGGGAGGTGCTGCGAGGTGCTGAGAGGTACTGCGAGGTGCTGAGAGGTACTGGGAGGGGCTGGGAGGTCCTGGGAGGGGCTGGGAGGTCCTGGGAGGGGCTGGGAGGTTCTGGGAGGGGCTGGGAGGTACTGGGAGGTGCTGGGAGATGCTGAGAGGTGCTGGGAGATGCTGAGAGGTGCTGGGAGGTGCTGGGAGGAGAGTTATCTCCCAGCAGGGGCGGCCAGGCTGGAGGAAGGGGAGGAGTCCTGGAGGGAGGATACGTGGAGGGGAGTAATCTGGAGAGGGGGGACGGGGGAGAGGGGAGAAGGAAAAGGGGGGAGCGGGGAGACAATTGCATTTTAAGAGGCAGAAGCAACGTAGTCGAGACAGAAAACGCTCTCTCGCGAGGCAACGTTAGTCAATAAACGTTTGTGGCGGCCCTGCGGTGTATGTGTGTGTGTGTGTGTGTGTGTGTGTGTGTGTGTGTGTGTGTGTGTGTGAGAGACTGTGTGTATGTGTGTGAGTGTATCTGTGTGGTCACCTAATTGTATGCTTGAAGGTCTTAAGGTATTAGCCTCAACACACCATCTTTTACTATGCTCGCGAAGAGGAGGAGAGTTTTACGAATTGCTCAGTCGACCCAAGGTAATGGAACCCGTTCAACACTGCACCTCGCATGGCAATTCCGTTCTCACCTCTGTGCTTAGATGATTCCAAAGCCTTTGACAGCGTCTAGAACACCACGCTGCTCAGAGAAATGCTGAACACAAGCGGGCAACCAGTAATTGGCGAACCTCTAATTGGTGGTTATCTCTATTTATACTTTTAAACATGCGAACAAGCCTGAATGGTCCCCAGGACAATATGCAACTGAAATTTTCGCATTTGTGTTCCTCACGTGTGCCCCAAAGAATGAGGTGATTTGGTAAAATGCTAATGCCCAAGATTACTATCCGAGTGCCGGCGGTGGGGTGGTTCAAATAGCCTCGGCTATCACCTCATTATGTCCGGTCGTGATGGTCAAGTGGATTAAGGCGTCTTGTACATACCAGTTGCGTTGCTTCTGGGGTGTGAGTTTTCAGTTGCACTTTTAAACATATGTAAAGCTGAGGTGAAATTTAACACTGTTCTCTCTGAACATTTTTCACTAAATAATGAGGCATTATGAAATTGTTGAAAAAAAGAATTATGCTTAAAAATAATGAATTATGTCTTAAAGCAAGGAAATGTGTTTCAAAACATGGAATTATGTTTTAAAAACGAGTAATTATGTCAAAAAAGAACGAATTATGTCTAAAAAGAACGAATTTTGTAGAAAAACAAAAGAATTATGTTTAGAGTTTTATTATCTAATGACTGTGTTGATCCATTATTATTGGAGTTGAGAGAGTAGAGTTGGTCGTCTACTCCCATCTAATGAGAGAGTAGAGTTGGTCGTCTACTCCCATCTACTCTAACAAGAGAGTAGAGTTCTACTCCCATCTAATGAGGTCGTCTACTTCCCTCTACTCTAACAAGAGAGTAGAGAGAGAGTAGAGTTGGTCGTGGTCGTCTACTTCCCTCTACTCTAACAAGAGAGTAGAGTTGGTCGTCTACTTCCCTCTACTCTAACAAGAGTAGAGTTGGTCGTACTTCCCTCTACTCTAACAAGAGAGTCGAGCTGGTCGTCTACTTCCCTCTACTCTAACAAGAGAGTAGAGTTGGTCGTCTACTTCCCACTCTAACAAGAGAGTAGAGTTGGTCGTCTACTCCCATCTACTCTAACAAGAGAGTAGAGTTGGTCGTCTACTTCCCTCTACTCTAACAAGAGAGTAGAGCTGGTCGTCTCGTGGACAATATTAAGGCTAATGTTTTCTGCTGTCTTGACCATCGGCTCCAACTGCACCTGCCAAAGGTCATATGGAATAAACAAATCCACAAGGGCCGTGACGAGGGTTCGAACCAACGTCCGAGAGGATCCCAGACGCTGCCTTAATCGACTGAGCTACGGCATGGTAAAAAGAACTGCAACCGAAAGTTCTACTGACCTTACTTGAGTATTTGTTCATTTGATGCATCACGCTATTGTGATTTCTGTGTGGCATATTTAATAATTAACGGAACTGTGTGAAAACTTTAGTACTGAACTTAATTAAAACGAGATTTTTTTTATGATTTTTTAAT